ATAATAATAAATATAATTTAAAAATATGAATATGACAAATCGCTTTAAAATTTGGGTTATTATTTTTGCTTAAGTGAAATTTATCAAAAAACAAAAGAAAGAAAGAAAAATAAATGTTTAGAGAATGCTGAATTTCCGCGCTTACTTAATACTATTAAAGCATTTTCTTTTCATTGGAATTTTTAGGTTTATATGTTTAGTATTAATTTTGCTTTGATATCTGCAAATTCTACACATTTAGAGGTGATTCAACACTCTTTAGAACTTAATCTGTTCACGATATTATAATTAGAATACTTTTGTCAATTTTGACTAATACCAGTCTTATATACATATCTATGTATAAGAAGTTATAACTGTAGTAAATAATAAGAATCTATGAATAGAAATATACGTACTCAAGAATTTAACAGTAATTCTCATAGAATTATCTTGTTTTAGCCGAATTTTTAAATACAAAATCGATGTTAAGTAGCACTTAAGCCAAATGAACAAATTTCAGTCATTCGCAGCAGATATGAAACAAAAATAATATATTTTACAAATACTTGGCGAGCTCTTCAAATAGTATTTGCCGCCTGTGCCGCCACATTAAGATATTTTTAAATTAGAATCAAATTAAATGTCTTGACAACTGTTGATATGCGAACCACATGGACAGGGGGGAGCGTCAGGCAATGGGTGGCAAGGGTAAGCGGCGTAAAATTTCATTCATAAAGTTTGTTTACGCCAACAGATGTGAGTGGCTATGTGTGTGTGTGTGTGTGTGTGTGTGTGCATGGGGTTGCTTTTGGCTAGCTAACAGAGCTCTGTTAAGTCCTGCGCTGTTAAGCGGCGAGCATCAGGAAACGGCTGAGGCTGAGGCTGCGGCTGCGGCTGCGACTGAGCTCTGGCTTGGCGCAGTTCAAATCTGTGCGTTCAGTTGCAGTTGGCGCTTCGTTCGATGCGGATCGCAGCAGACGCGAGTTCCAGTGAATTATCTCTTGAAGTTATCAAATCTAAATCCGAATTGAAGATGTCCACATCTCAGGCTGTTGATGAGGACTCCAGCAATATGTCAACCATTTGCACATTGGACACGAATGTGCCAAAGCTCGGGAATGGCAGTGGCAGTGGCAGTCGCAGTGGCATGAATAATAACAATAGTGCTCGGTCTAGCCGCAGCTCCACGGGCACAGATTCCACATGCCTGGAGGAGCAACGCTTTGGCTGGCTACGATTCCGTCCGCAGTGGCTGCAGTGCTTCTGCACCGCCAAGTGGGCGCTCTTCTGGCTCTGCTGGGGCGGCGCATTGCAGGGTAAGTAATGGAGTGAATGAGGGGATTGTGGGGAGGCGGGCGACATTTGGCACACAAATTCTCATTGTGGTCCGCGCTTAATTCATTTAATAGCTCCGTCTCGCTGATCCGCCCACATGTTTTTCGGTTGGCCGCTGCTTTTTAGCATGTGAATAAATGATAATCTTCGTGTCTCAACACCTACTGTGAAACACCTCGTAAAATACTTGTGACTAACTATTCACAACAAATGAAATATAAAATTAAATATTTATATCAAAATCAAATGCAAATATTTTTGCTTTAAATAATTATTTTTGTGCATAAATAAGTCTCATATTAAAAACTTGTTCGCTCTGCAAGGCATTCAAATGATATGGCAATACAAGCTTATCAGATATCAGATAATTTTTTTTATCTTATCGTGTTTAATTAAAGTGGGCCATAGTGTTAAGTAAATAAAATGCTAATTTACTAAAAGTTGAAGCTGATAAAATTAATAATGCAATTTGCTGCATTTATATAAATTGTACTTGAAAACTTGAGGTATTTGAAAACCTTTTCATTGGTTGTACAGGTGATGGAGATAGATTTTAAATACAGTATATGTAGTATAACTGTATTTGTTGTATTATTAATGAAATATAAACTGAGAACTAATAATTAGCTATTCTTTTACAAACTAAATAAATAGCTAATTATTAAAAAATTGTATTATTTAACTTGTACATTTTTTTTATATAATTTTCCATAGAAAAAATATTTTAAA